TCGTTCACCCATGACACCATAGGCTATAGGTTGCCAACGCTTGAAGCTAGTAAAGTGATATCACCGATATGGTTCAAGTCAGTCAACCGGCGCCCGGGTGCAAGCTCAACACCGTCATTTTCTTGTAGGGCCTTCCCGAGAACCCAGTCAATGGGCGACCTGGCAGAGCACTGTTGAACGCCAGACCGAATAGGGGAGGGTTCTGAAATGTTGTTGTGGACTAGAACCCGTGCAGTGGCGGAGCGGTAATATACCTCGATACTGGCGATTATTTTTGGTGGTACACCATCTAATGCCATTATCCGCCATAGGGAGTCATGATGGACGGAGAAGGACTAGAGAGGAACCGAGTATTTCGCCGATTGGCAGTCCTTCCAATGACTGCTTCTATTAGGCTAGGTTGTTTTAAGTGGGGTTAGTTATGCCTATTGGATCGATCTAACCCTTTCTTCAAGCTAATCGCTGTAGAACGGACGAAGATTGGCTCCATAGATTAAAACCCTCCATGCTAGGTCTGCCACAAAGCTGTTTGGCAGTCGTTTGGGGGCAGGCCGTCTCTGTGGTGCATAATTTAAGCATGCAAATGCATAAGCTCACCGAAGTAAATAGGACACAGACGTTCTGTTTAATCTGACGCTTAATGTATTGGCTTCCCGTAAATATATGACTGGCTGTTGAAAACCAGCAAAACAGGAGTAACCATTCTACTGTTTCTTGCTCTACAAGTAAGATCTTTTGCCGCTGCGTGTCACACGATGTTATGTTTACAAATGCACATACACTTGCGGATGCAAGTAATTTGGACGAATGCAAAGGCAATTGACAACCAGTGCCGGTGAACATTTGCCTTAGTGGCTTTTGAAGTAGGAAAATAAAATACCTTGATCTTCGATTACAAAACATCTCCTAGATAGCAGTCAGTATATTGACATCAAAGCGGTCATTCGATTGCTTCTTCGGACACAAAAAAGTCAGGCCTTGTACGACGGAAGGAACTTGTTCTATGCAAACAACTTACCATGTGATCAATCTTCAATTGCCCTGATAATCTCAATGCCTAGATTTACTCACCACTGTGTTCTGTGGTAGCATTTACCTCCCCCTCCCACTCCTTTTTTGCTTTCCTATATTGAGGTTTTAAATTAACGTGTTTATTGATGGTCTTCTGCATTTGACATGGTATTGACGTAGTGATTTTCTGTGCAAATTCAAACTGATGCCTGCTCCTTTTCAGTATCTATGTTATGCCGAGACAGATGGCAGTCGATGTGCCGTCATGAAATGTGTTGGTACCAATAAATTCTGCTATGCACGCCTATTTTAAATTAAAAATAACAAGCTGTTTAAGGAGACTATTTTTGAGATGTCTTCCATGGGAGTGACTATTTAGTATAGTTTCTTCTCGATTTCGTCATTGCATGCTTATCAATTAAAACTTTAGTGTTTACAAAACTACACAGTGAACCTGAGTCTATTTACCGTCATCAGGTCCTCGTATTTCGCATTTGCGACGCCAGGGATTCGCGCCCAGCCCTAAACCGACGAACGTTTGAGTTTAATTACTTCATCTAGGAACCGTGCTCCTTCGCCTGCAGTCAGGAATGCTCACTTTGGTGTTGGAATCTTATGGGCTAACATGATCAAGAAATTCAGTGGACTAGCTCCGTCCTTGTCCTGTTGAGAGCAGTGCCAATCCAGTTACGCCTTTGTGGTTGTGGGCAGTTTAGCTCACCCTAGTTATCTACCTTGGTGTCCAACCCTTCTGAACCTCGATTTGTCGACGCTAGCTATTTTACTTTCTTTTCCAACTCAGCTTGATATATTGCGAGGAGAAGTGCGTGAGCCCTCAAATGCGTTTTGAGTTTCTCCGATGTACCAACGTATCCGTTGGTTTCCTAATTTACTGTCCTCCCTTTTACCTTCTAGCGTTACGATTGGACAAAGAAGAATTACTTCTTCATGCGTGGAGCGCCGGACTGCTTCCTGATCGGTGCCAAAAGGTTGGTTACACGAATCTTGTATGCCCCTTAAGTCCAATTTTGTCCTCAAAGCCGGATTTTACTTTTTGCCCACTGTTTCTTCCGTGGAACTCTTCACCAAACAGACTTATCGCGGCCCGTGCTGGTGGTGCTAAACTGCATCCTGAGGGTTTCCAAACGCTACAATTTACACTATGCCTCCTTCAGATCCGTTGTACTTTTTTACGTTTGTTCACCGTAACTAATTGGGCAAAGTAAAAAAGGTTCGTTACTTGGGATTACCGTATCATTCATTTTACATTAAATAAAGCACTTAACATTGGCGGGTTTGCCTTCACTGTTGGGCTATTGTTTCAATTATTTCCTTCTGCCTTGGATCTCAAGCTAGGGTCCCGTCAGCAGCTGAATAG